GATCCTGTGGCCAACCCCAGACCAAACATGGTACCACCCACGACACAGCCTAATTTTAACAGGAGAACACAATTGGTACCACCACCACCACCGAGGGCCGCCGCTCACCACTATCAACATGAACCCCTGGAGGAGCACAGCCTGGATTCGGAGCAATGGGCCGTACTACATGAGGTGAACCTAGCCCAAGCCGAGGGGGACAACCGGGTGCACCACAGACAATGGGTCACCATAGATGGAAAAGAGGCGGAGGCGCTATGAGACTCTGGGTCCACCCTTACTTTGGTGCAGCCTCACACCGTACCTGCAAAGGTGCACACCGACAGGATTGTGGCCATAAGAGTGGCAGGAGGCGCCATCCACAAGTTGCCCACAGCCGGGGTACAGTTAAATTGGGGCACCGGAGCCAAGCAGATGGAGGTGGGCATTATGTCTGGACTACCTGCAAAAGTTTTGTTGGGGAACGACTTGGGGTGTCTAACTTCGCAGCTGATTCACCCCGATCCTGCTGGAACCTGCCCCTTGACTACCAGGGCACAAGCCCGCCGAGCTGGACCGACACACTCCGAGGAACCACAGGTAGGAACCGAAATCCCCATAGCATGCCCTAACCCTGGGGCACTCCCCAAGACTTTGGCCAAGCCCAGCGGTCAGATCCCACCTTAGCAGGTTACAGGAAGGCAGTAGGTATCTCTAAGGAAGGTAATGCCCACGAGAACTTCCACTGGGACCAGGGTCTGCTATATAGGGTCACGGGGGAGTGGGAAAGGGGGCAGCCCAAGTTATAAAAAGACAGTTAGTCGTACCCCGTATATACAGGGCGGAGCTTCTAAAGCTCAGCCATGATATCCCGCTAGCAGGCCATCTGGGTATCAAGAAAACTAAGGACCGCCTTACCCAGACATTCTTCTGGACAGGGATATCCAAAGATTTGCAGACCTACTGCAGGACACGTGACACGTCAAAGGATAGGGAAAAGGGGGATCACCCTAAGGCCAAGATACGGTCCCTATCTATAATAGAAGAACCATTCTACAGAGTGGCAGTAGATCTGATAGGGCCTCTCAGCAAACCCAGCTCCTCCGGTAAGCGTTACATCCTCACGGTGGTGGACTACGCCACCAGGTACCATGAGGCTGTGGCGCTCTTCAACGTTGAGGCAGAGACAGTAGCAGAGACTCTAATCTTTTCCCGAGTAGGGTTCCCCCGGGAAATACTTTCAGACCAGGGAACCCAGTTCACGGCAACTGTAACAACAGTTGTGGCAGAGCTGCAGGGTAAAACCGTTATTTAGCTCCCCCTACCACCCCCAGACTTACGGTCTCTGAACGATTCAACGGCATGCTTAAGCAAATGCTCACAGCGTTCACAGAGTCCTACGGTCAATGGGAGAAATTTCTACCTCATCTCCTATTTGCCTACCGGGAAGTGCCTCAGGCGTCCACCGGGTTTTCCCCCTTCAAACTCCTATATGGGAGAAAAGTCCAGGGACCCCTGGACCTTATACGGGAGCACTGGGAGGGCAACACAGGAGAGGAAGGGATCCCAGTTTTGCCATACGTGCTGGAGTTCCGGGACCGCTTACAAGCCCTGACCGAATCAGTTTGGGAGAACCTGCATGTGGCCCAGAAAAGTCAGAAACAATGGTATGACTGGGGAGCACGAGATAGGAACCTGGAGGTAGGGCAAAAGGTACTAGCCCTCATACTGTCCAAAAAGGACAAGCTCTGACAGCTTGGCAGGGGCTATTTAAAGTGGTAGAACGTATTAGCGACACCACCTATATTGTAGCCAAATGTTCAGATGAAAAGATCAGACGAGCCTTTCATGTGAACATGTTGAAACCGTACTTCCGCAGTGCACCGGGTAGAGACGCAGGGGGAGACCCCATTACGGCAACAGTCGTACCGTATCCCGGCAGCAGTACAGACTAGCATGTGGAAAGAAATCCAAGAAATGTTAGAATTAGGGATTATTGAGGCTTCCCAAAGTCCCTGGGCGTCTCCGGTGGTTTTAATACCGAAGCAAGACGGTACGACTCGCTTCTGTATTGATTACCGGAAACTGAACGACCGGACTATCGCTGACGCATACCCCATGCCACAGATCTACGAATTGCTCGATCGCATGGCCAGCGGGCACTTCCTAACTACCCTGGACTTGTGCAAAGGATACTGGCAAATTCCGCTAGACCCGGTCGCCATCCCTAAGTCGCCATTCGTCACCCCATTCGGGCTATACCAATTTCGGGTTATGCCGTTTGGGATGAAGAATGCCCCAGTTGCGTTCCAAAGGATGGCGGACCGACTTCTGGAAGGAATGCAGGACTTCGCATGTGCCTATCTAGATGATATTGCCATCTATAGCGGCACATGGTAGGCACACCTGTCGCACTTGGCTACGGTATTTGGGAAGTTACAAGAAGCCGGCCTCACCCTGAAACCCGAGAAATGAAATGTGGGTATAGCAGAGGTCCAATACCTAGGGCATAGAGTAGGGTCTGGGAAACAGCGCCCCGAACCAGCTAAAGTAGAGGCCATAGCCAATTGGCCAGAGCCCCGCACCAAGACGCAGGTATTGGCCTTCCTAGGCACAGCAGGGTATTATAGAAAGTTCGTCCCTGAGTATAGCACCCTACACGAGACAGGGGGGATATGATAGAAACATTTAAATATATAAAGGGAATCAACACAGTAAAGGAGGAGACTATATTTAAAAGAAGAAAAACTACCACAACAAGAGGACATAGTCTTAAATTAGAGGGACAAAGGTTTAAAATAATATCAGGAAGTATTACTTTACTGAGAGGGTAGTGGATGCATGGAATAGCCTTCCAGCTGAAGTGGTAGAGGTTAACACAGTAAAGGAGTTTAAG